TAGAAAAGAAAAAGCGCGAGGTAAAAAAGAAAGCGGAGCCCTCAAACGTCGACTCGCAGCGGGCCCACGCCGGGCAGCGTGACTCCAACCGAGGAGGGGAGCGTCTTGGTCAGCAGGTTCGGGACGGCGCCTTTAACGCAGAGATACAGCCGAGATACAGCTGAGGTCATCTCTCGGCCATCTCTCGGCTGTCTCTCGGCTGTCTCTCGGCTGTCTCTCGGCTGCCTCTCGGCTGTACCTCGGCTGTACCTCGGCTGTCTCTCGGCTGTCTCTCGGCTGTCTCTCGGCCATCTCTCGGCTGTCTCTCGCCGCTCCGCACGGCGAGCACGACGTCTTCCGGCCGCGAGGAAACGGGCAGCTGGGCCAGCGCGCCGCGCGCCGCCGCCTTCGCGCTGGCGGCCGGGGCGGTGGGCTTTGCTACCACAGCAACCGCCGCCGAGCTCGCCTTGCCCCCCTGCGCCGCTGCCGTCGTCTTCGCCGCCGCCGCCTCCTTCGCCGCCATTGCCTCTGCCAGCAGCGTCTCTTTCGCCGCCTTGGCCGCCAGCGCCTGCGCCTCCTTAGTCGCTTTGGCCTCTGCCGCCTCGGACGCCCTGGCCGCCGCCGCCGCCTCCTTCGCCGCCTTGGCCTCTGCGAGCTGCGTCTCCTTGGCCGCCTTGGCCGCCAGCGCCGTTGCCTCCTTCTCAGCCTTGGCCTGCGCCACCGCCGCGTTCGCCGCCGCCGCCTTGGCCGCCTATGTCAGTGAGCGTGAGTACCCGTCTCCCCAGTCCCCGTGCGGATCTGCGGATTGGCGCCACGTCTCCTGTCGCTAGTCGCTAGGGCGTGGCGAGGGCCCCGATCTGGAAGGCGGTCGCAAGGTGTGAGGGAGAGGAGTCTGGAGGCGGAGCAGGAGACAAGCCATTCCCTCTCCAGTCGCTAGTCGCTTGGCCATGGGCCAGATCTCGGAATTAAGGCTCTGCCTACTACTACTGCTGGCCGCCTTGGCAGCCGAGGCTTCGGCGAGTTCCGCCTTGGCGGCGGCGGCCTTGGCCGCCTTGGCCGCTTTGGCCTCGGCCAGCTGCGTCTCCTTTGCGCTCGGCGCACTCGGCGCCACCTCTGCCGCCGCCGCCTTTGCCGCCGCCGCAGGCGCGTCTGCAGCCTCGGCGCGGGCAGCCGCGACCTTGGCCGCCGCCTCGAGCTTGGCCTTGAGCGCGGCGGTCTCGTCGATCTCGGCGGCCTGTGGGGGTGAGGGCGATAGCGGGGTGGGGGCGACGGCGGCGGCGGAAAGATGGCGGCGGGCTTGGTGGCGGTGGCGAGGGCGGCGAGGTGCTGGCGAGGGCGAAGGTGGTGTTGTCGGTGGTGGTGGTGCAGCGGCGGCTCGGTGGCGGTGATGGCGGCGCCTTGCTCGGTGCCTTTGCGACCAGCATCATCGGGTACCCCGACTCGTACTGCCCCAACTCAGGCTCAAGAGCAGCCACCGTCGTCGGCGTGGCTGCAATGAGCGCTGCCGCGGCGATGCCAGCGATGGCAGAGCCGAGCGATTCAGCTGGTGGTCCAGGTACGACGGCCGGCCTGGCGAGCTCGAAGACTGGCCACGAGACGCGGACCTGTGGGAGGAGGCCCACAGCGAGAGTGGCCACAGCGAGCATGGCCGCGGCTCTAATGAAGTCGAAGTACACTCGCACCTGTCCGGCACCGCGGATTTTTTCTTTTTATTTGTTTCGTTGGCGAAAAACTCGTGAGAGAGAGAGAGAGAGAGAGAGAGAGATTCTTTTTTTTCGCCGAAACAGTGATGGCAGGTGTCTCTCTCGGAGCGCCTCCTTTGAGCCCGGCCGATGAAGGGGCGTGGCGCCTCCGCCGAAGGGAGTGCGCCTCGGCAGGTCGGGCAGGTGCGGCTGGCCAGGCTGCGGTCGCATTCCGAGCAGATGAGGTGGCCTTGCGGGCACTGGTGGATGTGGCCGTCGCACACGTCGAGGCAGGCGGGGCACACCAGGTGGTCCGCGGCGAGGGCCATATGTCGGTGCACACGAAGACGTGGTATTCGCGTGTGATACGGAAGAATGGTTTGCGGCGGGCACAGCAGAAAGAAAGTGCCGGTTTTTTTCAAAGAAAGAAATGAAGAAATAAAACAGACAACCCCGCATAGCGAGGAGCGATTTCTTTCGCGGTGACTTTCATTAGGCAATGTCGGCGTGCATGCTGCTGCTTTCCTTTGGCGCCGGGTTGTCCCAGCTCGCGCCGCCCGGCACGTGCGACGCAGGATTCTACGCAATCACTAACGACACCGCTGATCCCGACTGCCGCACCTGCCCTTCCGGCTCGTCGTGTGCGTGCGGGGACGGGACGCCGCGGCTTTGTTCGCCGGGCACCATCGCCGCGACTACCGGCCTCTCCGAGTGCGTGCCCTGCGAGGGCGGAAGCTACCAGAATTTATCTGGCACCACCGAATGCAAGCCCTGTTTGCCGGGCCATTTCTGCCCCAGAGGCGCGTCAGTGTCACTGCCGTGCGAGGCTGGTTCCTACTCGGAAGCGACCAACCTCACCGCCGCGGGCGAGTGCACGGCCTGCCCCGCCGGTAGCGCCTGCTCCATGGGCAGCATCGAGCCGACGTCGTGCTTGCCTGGCTTCTTCGCTGCAAAGGAGGGGCAGTCCAAGTGCGAGGCTTGCCCCGCAGGCTCCCAATGCCCCGCAGAGGGAACCTATGAGGCGCTGCCCTGCGAAGTTGGCTACTACTGCCCGAAGGGGACGAACGTCCCCCTTCGTTGCCCCGGCGGGTCGTACTCGAAGGCAACCAACCTCACCAACGCAGACAATTGCACGGATTGCCCCGCCGGCAGCGCCTGCTCCTCGGGCAGCATCGAGCCGACGCCGTGCTCGCCTGGCACCTTTGCCGCAAAGGAGGGGCAGTCCAAGTGCGAGGCTTGCCCTCCCGGCACCACTTCGGGTCAAAGCAGCTACGAGTGCGACCAGTGCGTGGCTGGCCGTTACGCCGTCAGCGCCGGCCAGGGACTTTGCGTCCCGTGCCCTCACCCCCTCAGTAGTGAGCGTGGCGCCGTCATCTGCTCTATCTGCATGGACGACTTCTACTTGAAGGACGCGAGCGCCGACCCGCACGACATCTTCATCTACCCGCTCGAATACTGCGAGGCTTGCCCGCTGTACGCTGCCTGCCCGGACAACACCACCCTTGCTTCCCTCGTCCTCCCGCCCGGCTACTGGCGCGCCAGCCCCTCCTCCGACGTGTTGACGGCGTGCCGTGATTTTGGGGGTGACAGGGCCGGCGAGGCGCGATGCGCCGGCAGCGAGTCGACAGGCGCCTCTCGCCGCCGGAGGATGGTAGAGGCGGGCTCGGACGCGTACTGCGCTCCGGGCTTCAAAGGCCCCGAGTGCCAGCTCTGCGCCGCGGAGAATCACTACCTCGTCGACGGCGACGAGTGCAAGGAGTGCGCTCCGCGGGGCGCGGCGGCGGGCCGCATCGTAGGCCTCGTCCTCGGCCTCTGCGTCGCTTGCGGCCTCGCAGCGTATTGCTACAGCATGACGAGCTGGCGGAAGCAGCCCTGCATTGGCGGTCCTCTCCGCCTTGCTGACCGCGCTAGCGCTCTGTATGTCAAGCTCGGCCCGACACCAAAAATCAAGATCATGTTCGCCTTCTACCAGATTGTCCTCGTGCTCTCTTCGACCTACTGGGCGCAGCTGCCTGACAAGTACACGGGCTTGACCAACCCGTTGGCCAATGTGGTCACCATCGACTGGTCTGGCCTCTTCCTGCCGGAGCAGTGCTTCGGCTACGGTGAGCGGCTCCTAGCCATCGCTCTCGCGCCCGTCGCCCTCATCGCACTGATGATGATCGCGGGAATAAGCCTGCGGCTCCAACGCTGGCGTGCTGCCCCGGCGCCGCGCGCGAGACCGTGGTACGCGGAGGCGGCCCTCGGCCTGCTCGACCTCACGCCGGCGGGCTTGGTGTTTGCTTTCTTCTTCGTGCCCTCCATCACCGCCTCCATCTTCAATTCGTGGAGCTGCCAGGCCGCCCCCAGCATGACTGCCATTGCTCACAACCACATCCCTCAGCCCTCGCGATGTTCTGCTGATAGGCCTACACCATCTCTCCTCACTACGAGGAGCTACGGCAGGTCTCTTACATGCGGCAGGATGCGAGCGTCGAGTGCGACACGGAAATGCACGAGTCCATCACCGACATCGCCGTGGGTTTCATCGTCCTCTGGCCCGTCGGCTCGCTGGTCCTCTACACGTTGCTCCTCGCCGCTTGCTACAAGCCGTTGCAGGCCAAGTCGCCGACAGCGCTGACGCGGGCCACCGCCTTCCTCCACCGGGAGTACACCACGAAGTTATACTGGTGGGATGCGGTCGAGCAGGCGCGCAGGCTCGTGCTGACAGGCTTCGTGCTGCTGATCCCGGAGGAGCGCGCTTTTGTTCGCCTCATGGTGGCGACCGTCGTTTGCACGGCCTACCCTCTCATCCTCACCGTTGCGCGGCCCTACAAGAGGGTCGAGGACCACGTCCTCGCCGTCACCACCAGCATTTTGCTAATCCTCTTGTTCCTCTGCGCCGGTTGGAGCACAATTTTCCTCAGCATCGCGGAGCGGTACCAGGGAGCAGATCCCGCCGACGTCATGGGCTTTGGCAACCTGAACCACCTCGTGAACGCGATGATTGCCGTCGTCTTCGGCCTTCCGATACTCCTTCTCGCTTACCTCACCTACACCGGCTCCATTGAAGCAAAACGCCAGCGTGAGCAAGAGCGTGTGCTCGAGGAGACGAATCGCGCGCTCGCTGACGCCGCGCTCGAGATGGAGGGCGAGCAGTGCACCTTCCTCTTTCTCGACGCAGACGTGATCCGCTCCGGACTGTGCGCCGAGGTTGGCTACAAGACGACGCTGCCGCGGCTGCAGGAGATCGAGGCGGCGCACCCAGAGTGGATCAAGCGGCGAGTGCTCAAGCGGCACCTCGCCTACGGCCGCCAGCACTACCGCAGCGAGATCCTCGCCGTGAGCCACCGCTGGGAGCAGCCCGAAGCGCCCGATGCGAGCGGCGCCCAGCTCAAGGCGATCCGCGAGTACCTTCAGAGCCCGGCCGGCCTCGAGGTGAGTTTCGCCTCTCGTATGTGACTCGAGCGCTGAGACTGTGAACGCACCCTGTTCACGCGCGCACCATGCTGTGAACAGGTGAGCTTCGTCTGGTACGACTACTGGTGAGCCACCGCTGCCCCAGGCGAGTGGCATCGCCGCCCCACGAATGTCACCCCTCCGACGTCACCCCCATCAGGTGCATGCCGCAGGGCAAGCGAACTCCGACCGAGAAGGTCGGCTTCAAGAGGATGCTGCAGAATGTGCGCCTGCTGTTGTGAGTGTAGGCGTGGGGCGAGGCGCATCAATCCCATTTCACAGCGTGTCTCCCTACCTAGGTCAATTTGCTCTACCTCGGCTGCTCCGTCCTCATCCTGCAGGAGCTCTCCTACCTCTCCCGCTTCTGGCGCGTGCCCCGCTGCATCCGCGACACCCAGGCCATGCATCCGCCTAACACAATCTCACCGTGCGCCCTTTATGTGGACGCTTGTAGGACCCAGTTCGAGGCGTGGTGCAGCATGCAGTCGGCCACCGAAGACGGCCTCGGGCCGGCGCCCGCCGCGGAGCGGCGCTGCACCGTCGTCCCCATCCTCCAGGCCACGGAGGGCATGGCGTCCGAGCTCATCATGATGTGAGCATTTAGGGAGATGCACTGGCGCCCGTACCAGCAACTATCTTGCTGGTCACTTCGCATTATAGGTGGGCGAGCCGCAGCGTGGACGAGGCGATCGAGACGCTCGCGAGCCCAGACGTGACCGTCACCAACCAGTCCGACAAGGAGTTGCAGCTGTACAAGTTGCGCGAGCTCGACTCGCTGGTGCAGGAGGCCGTGGCCCAGTGCGCACGCGAGGCCGTCGACCCCACCGTGGTCGAGATCGCGCCACCCAGCCGCGGCTGAATCCGTCGCAAAGCCCCCAGGCTCCAGGTGGCAAGCACCCTGATTCATACATTGTGCCGCCTGTCGAGACACAAGAGGCTATCCATGCATGCATGCGAGCCGCATAGACGGCCATGATTGTCCTCCGGCGCTCCGCGGCCGCGAGCCGCCGAGCGCGACGGAGCACTGCAACGGGAACCAACCGGTCGAGCGAGGTCTTTTTGAGTCTGCACTCTGCCACGCTCACGCTGTCTCCTGTCAGTAAGTTGCTAACAATGACACACACCGCCGCCCGAGCAAGCACCACAATATTTTGTGTCACACGTCGTTAAAACGCAACAAAGAGAAAAGTCGGGCAGCTGCTCACATGTCTTATAATGGCTGCCGCCCATCGATGCGACAGCTCGGCCGCAACATACTCGCTCGCTAGAGCTCCCTCTCGGTCGGGACGGAGCACTTGCACGCCCCTTGCGGCAGCAGCGGCTTCCCGACGAGCTTGCCGCCCGCCGCCCACGCCGGCAACGCCTCCCGCGCGCACTCGCCGCCGGCGCGCTTACAGCGACTCCGCTGCCGCTGGTACGCCTCGAGGCGCTGCGACTCTTGCTCCTGCTCAGGGAGTTGAAGGGGGGGGGGGGGGTGAAGGGGGACCCCGCGTGTCCGCCACCGTGGCCAAGCGGCCGCTGTGCGCTCCTCTTGCTTTATGATGCTCGTGCCGCGAGATGTGATGCCCTTGTGGAACCAGCTCTCCTGCAGGGGGAGAGGCGGCCGCGGTGAAAAGAGAAAGGTGGCAAAGGGAAGAGAGGGCAGGCGGCTGGAGGCGGGGGGAAGCAGGAGAGGCGAGGACGGAGTCCAGTGAGGGCGGGGAGGGGTGAGGCAGTGAGGGGAGGGGAGAGGCGGAGGAGTGAGGCGGCAGGAGGGGGAGAGAGGCGGCACAAGGGAAAAGAGGGGAGAAGAGAGGGACAACAGGCGAGAAGAGGGGCAGCAGGCCTCGTAGCCCTTCGTGTTTCGCTCGCAAAAGGCGCGGTCGGTAGGCGGCAGCAGCCCCGACGTATAGACGGCGGTGGAGCCGTAGAGGGCGACGAGGCTGACGCACCTGTGGACGCACAGGGCGAAGTGTCGCCGCGGCGTTGCTGTATGTGAGAGAGTCGAGAATCGAGAGACACGTGACTAGCTCTCACAGAGGGGGGAGAGCTGAGAGAGGACTACATGAGCTGCACGGCGCACCAGCTGCGGCGCAACTCGTAGGCGCAGCGCTTCGGCCGCCTCTTCTTCGCGCAATGCGCCGGCGGCGTGAAGGACAGCGGGGCGGAGCCGTTGTCGCCGGCGCTCGCCGGAGGCACGAAGAGCTTGCCAACCTTGTCCGCGGGCGTGATCCGGTTGGCGGCTTTTGCCGCCGCCTCGGCTGTCTTCGTCCACGCGAGACGCTCCGCCGCCGCGCGGGCCGCCTCGGCGCCGCCCGCCGCCTCTGCGGCCGCCTCCTCGGGCTGCACCACCCACAGCTGCGGCCACGGGGAGATGTCGTCCGGCGGCTTGAACTTTGCAGACGCGCCGGCGCGGAGCGTGCGCAGCGGCCAGTGTGTCGGCGTCACGTTGGCCGCCCGCCCGGCGGCGGCTGCGAGCATCACGCCGACGAAGGCATCCTCGACCTCCAGCAGCGGCGCGCCCGCCCGCTCCCTCTCCGTCACGCCCTGCAGCACCAGGGCCACCGCATCGCGGCCGAGCGCGTAGGCGGACCCGTCGGCATACGGCGGGTATGTCGGCTCGCCGTACTGCTCGTAGGGCACAGCCCAGCGGCCCCACGACTGGCTCAGCTTGTCTGACCGCACGACCGGCTTGCCGCGCCACACGTAGCCTGCGTAGAGGGCGTGCCGCCGCTGCGGAGGCAGTCTCCAGACCCAGTCGTAGAGTGAGGAGACGTGCACCACCACATCGTCATCCGCCTTGAGCAGCACATCAAAGTCCACCTCCGTCGCGGCCCAGCGCATGGCAGCCACCACCTTGTGCACCAGGTTGCGGTAGCCCTCGGCGGTGCCGAGCAGGCGCAGTGAGTCGCCAGAGATGGCGGTAGTGGAAGAAGGCGACACGCGTGGAGTTGGGGAGCCATCCTCCCCCATCACATAGAGGTACCGCCACGGCACCGGCCACGGCCGGTCTCGCTGCCGCCACTCCTTGCTGAGCCACGTCGCCCGCTGGTGCGTCCGCCGAGCGCGGGAGGCCGCACTCGTCGGGTGCGTCATAATCATCATCAGCAGCGGCACCCTCGGCAGTCCCAACTCGCGAGCGGTGGGGGAAGCGGAGCCGGCGTCGACGGCCCCCCAAGCCTCGACGTGCGCGCGCGTCACCAGCGGCAGTTCGACGGCGGACCTGTCGTCCTCGTCCTCCCACCACGGCATCGCCTTTCCGCACTCGGGCGCGTTGTACGGGAAGCGCGCGTTGAAGGTTGGCTCGCAGTAGGTGCGTGTGGCGCAGTCCCACCGGATGAAGGGCGTGGCGAAGGAGGCCACCTCCGGGAAGTCCTAAATGATGAGTTCATGGATCAGGCTTCTGGGTGCACGCCAAGGGAAACAAGGGAACAGAGTTAAAACGATCTCGTGCAGTGCATTCCGGGTACCGCGTGAGTGGCGAGGCTGTACTCAGTTGCCGACCTTGCACAGGTACTGCAGGAAGTACGCCATCCGGCCAAAGCGCAGCGAGGAGGAGACATACGCGAGGCTGCGCGACGTATTGTGCTGCACGCGGACCGCCGGGCAGGCGAGCACACGCTGGCCGTGCAGCCAGAGCGCGTAGAAGAAGGTCTCGTGCTCCATCACCCTTTGGCGCGCGTCCCACCCGTGCTGCACGAGGGCGGAACGCCGAGCGAGGAAAAAGTTGTGGGTGGCGTCCACCACGCCGCACCCGCCGCCCTGCGCCTGCAGCGTGGCGAAGCGCGCCGCCACCGCCGTGCCGCCGCCGGTCACGCTGAAGGCGAGGTTGAAGCAGTCCGCGCCGCCGCGTACGAGGTCGTCGTAGCAGCCGCCCGCGAGCGCCGCGCCTGGGTCGCGCACCAGCGCGTCGTGCAGCGCGGCGAGGTCGGTGGCCTCGGAAAAGACCACGTCGTCGTCGAGCAGGAGCACAAACTCTGTGGAAGCGCGCCGTACGATCGTGTTGCGGCCGAGGCTCAGGCCGCTGCCCGCCTCGGTGCAGACGAGCGTCACGTTGTGTGTGCGTGCGGCTGTCCGGTCCGCCTTGCAGCCGTCGTCGGCCACGATGACCTCGGCCGTCGCGTACCGCCGCCGGATGGAGCGGAGGAGCCGGTCGAGCTGCTCTCGCCGGAACCCGTACGCCGAGGTGTGCTTGATGCCGATGGTCAAGTCCGACTCGGCGAGGAAAGCGAGCGAGGAGGGAAGGAGGGAAGAGAGCATTCTCACGTGGGAGGAGGAAGGCGCCGTGCACGTCCGCAGTTCTTTCTGTTCTCGTTGTGTGACAGTGGCTCTCGTGGTGTGCAGTGCGCGTGTTGGGCGGTCAAGCGAGCATTGTTCTCGACGCTGTTCACAGAAAAAAAACAACCCCGGCCGCAAGATGCACAAAAACAGACAGTCAGAAGCACACTGTTCACACACACCCATAGACGGACTCGAAATCGGCGAGGATATGTGCTTTCTGTGTTTTGAGACGCTGTCCATCAAGGCAAACAAACAAAAGTTGTTTGGTATTGCTAAAAATCTCTCTCTCAAGGCCCCCGACCGCGTCGAACTCATCGGCGCGGGCTCTCTGAACTCGGCTACGGGACCGGTCCCAGCTTCGGCTGAGGGCTGACAAGCTTTTATGATGTATCTTATTCCGGGGCCGGTGTGCGGGGAGCGAACCTTAACGACCGCCCAGAAGCTTTCTGAGCGAACCAATCGGGCCGGGATCATCAGCATATGTCCCCTTCACAACATCGTGGGCGTTTGAGCGGTATTTGATGAGCACCGCGACTCTGAAGTTCGGCCGGGTGGTCTGCAGACCCCCCCCCCCCCCCCCCCGGAGCAGCAGGGGCTCCGTGGGGTCGCAGAGTCGACGCTGGGAGTCGCACTCGTCAAACCATCGCAGCACCACGCGGTCCGCACGTACCGCCCACGTTCCCTCCACCGCTGAGAAGGCGCAGATCGACCGCCGGGCCGCGTAGTCGTCGTTGAGGAGCGGTTTTTGGAGCCGTACGAAGAAGGTCCAAGACGGGCGAGGAACATATGCGGTCTTTCGACGACCACACGCGATGTGGTATCTGCTTTTTGCTAAAAACGGGCCGCCTAGTGCAGCATCACTAGTACAACACGCAATCACACTGAGAGCTCCACACTAGCCGGTATAGGCGAGCCCCGGCGGCCTCACATATGTGTATGTAAATCCTGCACTGAGAGTCAGACGCTGTTCACACACACCGTCCCCCCCAGGTCCACACTCCCAATTTAAAAATAAACTCGGGGGCACTCCACACTCCCATAGACGGACTCGAAAGTATGCACGACTCCAAGGTTCGTATGCTGCGTATCCTAGCTTATCAACAGCTCCCGGTGTGGTGGCCAAGATTCGCTGCTGCTTCCGTACATTGCGCGGTATAGCCTGTTCTTCATATCATTCGCGAGGTCCCGCCAGCGCAGCTTATCGAGCTCCGTCTTATCGAGCTCCGTCCTTGCCGCGTCAAGCTCGGCCTGCATGCCCGCCGCATCCGTCCTTGCCGCGTCAAGCTCGGCCTGCATGCCCGCCGCATCCGTCCTTGCCGCGTCAAGCTCGGCCTGCATGCCCGCCGCATCCGTCCTTGCCGCGTCAAGCTCTGCCTGCATGGACACGCGTTCTTCCGCCGCATCCGTCCTTGCCGCGTCAAGCTCGGCCTGCATGCCCGCCGCATCCGTCCTTGCTGCGTCAAGCTCTGCCTGCATGGACACGCGTTCTTCCGCCGCATCCGTCCTTGCCGCGTCAAGTTCGGTCTGCATGGAGCGGTACGACGACAGGAAATACGAGGTTGCAAGCATAAAGAGGGTCAGCGCCGCGTGGAAAAGGTTTGGGGTGGTGTCGATGTTGAGAAGCATCGAGGCGAGCAGCCAGAAGGCAGCCAAGAAGGCAGCCATAGAAGAGCCAAACATGAGATCGGTGTGCAGCAACGAGGACGTACTCGAGTACAAATTCCTTAGCCTTGCGCCACGCAGCGCTTGTTTGAGGTATGTTGTTGGCAAATCAAGAGACAGAGCTCACACAGAATCACAGCGGGAGAATAATTCCTTTTGAGTCGGAAATTTCTTTTTATTGGACCTGGGCGCGCCAGTCCCGTGCCCAGTGTCGTGACGCATCTTTTTTTGCGCTAAAATTCTTTTTATTGGCTCTGCTGCGACAGCGTGCACGGAGCTAAGTGCCTCGCCACCCTCGCAGGAGTCGCTTAGGCGGCTCCCGTGGTGTACCTGTGTTGGTGCCAGTGCGCGCCAGTCCCGTGCCCAGTGAGGAGCAAAAATTCTTTTTATTGGCCCTCCAAATCGGACAAGCGGCGCCGCCACAACTTCTGCGTCGCCGCGTTCGCCATGAGAGGGCGAGCCGCCGCCAAGGTGGTGCTTCCCTACCCGCCCTCCCGCCACAGTCGCGTGAGCGACGGGGCTCGCGCCAGCGCAGGCCGCGACAGCCAGCGCCGCTCCAGCCACGCTGAAAGCCGGTGCCGCCGCCGTGCACTCCGCAGGGCGGCGCCTCGTCCAGCGAGTACTACATGGAGCAGGAGAACGACGACCAGATCGGGCTGCTCGCCGGGAAGGTGAGTGCGCTGCGCGGCATCGCCGTCCAGGTGCGCCTGCGCCACAGCCCACTCTGCCGCTGCTCACTGCCGCCACCGGCGCGTCTCTGCACTCTGTTCTCCCGCGGCTCAGAACTTACGGCCGTGGCCCACCTTCGCTGCCACCGCACCGGCTCGTTCACGCACTCCTCCCTCCCACCAGATCGGCGATCACGTGCGCGAGGACAACAAGATGCTCGACGGGCTTGATGACCGGTGCGCGGAGGAGAGACAGATCGAGAGGCGGGGCACACTCAGACCACCGGCTGGGCGCCCCTACCTGGGAGGGACAGGTGGGAGGACAGGTAGGCCCTCTCCCTACCTAGCCGCCGCCAAGGCGAAGCACACTCACACCACCGCGCTGGGACACCGGCGCGGTGTATGGGTGGACGCAAGACCGATGGCGGTGGCGGTGCCCACACTGGAGCGACTCACAGGCCTCGCAAGACCAGGCACAGGGAGGGCTGGCAGCCGCAACCCACCCCGCCTGCCCACCTGTTCCTGTCTGCCTCCCCACCTGTACCTGTACTGTCTGCCTCCCCACCTGCCTCCCACCTATTCCTATCTACCTCCCCACCTGCCTCCCCACCTGTACTGTCTGCCTCCCCACCCCGCCTCCCCACCTGCCTGCCCCGAGGACCGGCGACCAGAGGGGGGCAATCACGCAGACGCCTCCACAGCCGCCGACCGCCTCCCCACCCGTACCTGCACCTGCACCTGTCTGCCCGCCCGCCTCTCGCACGCGCGCACGTCCGCAGCTGGCGGCGCATTTGCCTGCTCACCCCCCTCTGCTCTCCCTGCCCGCAGCTTCGACTCGGCCGGCTCGCTGCTCAGCGGGACCATGGCGCGGCGGGGCACCCTAGATGCGGAATATCTCGCCATATCTCGCCACATCTCGCCATATCTCGAGTCCCACGGACTGGCGCGACACCCTTACCCACCTTACCTCCACACCGCAGGCTGGGCAAGCTCGCGTCCTCGAAGGACTCGAGGCACATGTTGTACCTCGCGCTCTTCGTGGTCGCCGTGATCCTCCTCATCTACAAGCTGCGGTGAGGCGCGGCATGCGGGCACAGCCGGCCTGTAGCTGTACCCGTCTATCTAAATTTAAGGAGAGTAAAGAAACCTTCTCTCTCGCCTAGACACAGAGTGCGAACAGTTTCAGTGTACACCGCGCACACACACGCACAGAGAGAGATTAAAGATTAGAGGTGGGGCAGGCTGGCCGGCAGGGCCAGGCAGGGGGGGGGCAACGCCAACCCTCCGCAACTCCACACCGTTCTGACACCGAGACAGGTGCAGGATGCACACACCGAGACGTGCGAGCTGGCCACACACGCCGCCCTCGTGCCTCGAGACACCGCGGGTTCACGGCTTCGGCCAGCCACCGGGGCTGCACCCGCCGCACTCCTGGGGGTACTCCCGGCGGGCGACCTTTCGGCAAGCCTCCCCCTCGGTCATGTTGAGATTCTCAACCAGCCACGCGATGCGGGCGCCGCAACGGAACTGGGGCTGTCTCCCCCACAGCGTGTCCGAGAACACCGCGGGCGCGAGGGTGTTGAGGACGGCCTCGGTGCAAGAGCTGACGCCGCATGTGGACGGGGGCATCGAAGGCGGCGGCGCCGGGCCGGGCGAGAGGTCGAGCCGACGGCGTTCGGCGGTCTTGGCCGGGCTGCGAACCGCCGAGGCGTGCAAGCACTCCCACGACACAGAGCGGAAGCCACCGAGACGCGCCTACGCAACCGGCGCGCGGGAGCCTCACTGAGGGGCGGTAGCCGGTACATGTACTGCGTGTCGCGTGTCGTGGATGGGGCGCGGGCGCGGGGCGGGGCGTGGGCGGGGTGGCGCGACCGGGGCCCACACTGCGCAAGCGGAGCGGAGGCGCCTGAGCTCCCGGGCGGCTGCGCCGGCCGCGCGGGCCGTGGGCGCAGCGTGGGGCCGGGAGCGGCCTGCTCAGGAGCCTCAGCAGTTAGGTGCTCTCCGTGCTCATGTATCCAGCGTCTCTAGACGATTACAAAGGATCGGACGTTACGCACATTTTGACAGGGACGTCGGAAATCGGACACATCCACTGGGACGAGTCAATTCATTCACTAGAATGACTAGAAAGGGCACCCATGGGGGGTGATCGCACACACACTGAGTGCCAGCCCCACACGGACTCTAGTCTACACGCATCGGCATGCCCTCTACAAAACCACCGCTGTGCGGGCATGCACGACTTGTGGTACGTGCCCCGTGATCAGCGGAAAGTAATGCCGCTCGAGAGTACCGCCATCGCACCCCCTCGACGGCTCGCGCGCGCCCCGTCCGCTGCCCAGGCGCCGGAGCCGCCCGCCAAGAAGGGCTCCCGCCTGAAGCGCCCCGGCACGATCTGAGCGCGGCGTTCGCGCCGTGCGTGAGTCTCGGGATCGGACCCTCGCTCCGCATGCACGCGCGACCGTCCTCGCCGATCAGCGGCGGGTGAGCCTCGCGACGCGCTTGCCGGCGCCGGCCGCCAGCACAGGCGCACAACCTAGGGCTTGGGGCGGCGGCTCCAAACGTCGGTAGAGATCAACAGTGACCACGATCAGTGCGAGGGAGAGGTGGGTTCGGTCTTAGACAAGCCCTCCGCCTCCCGATGTAAAGCCGTATGAGTTGATTGGAGATTGCGCGGTTTCTTCCCGTCTAGACGCTGGCCACAGATGTACGCTCAGCAGGGCGCGGTGGCGGCGCTCTGAGCCCTCCCCAATTTCTCGCTTGCCCATGCGTTGGCGATTCATAAACGAGAATGGAGAATGAGACAGCAGAGCCAGAGACGAGAGAGACAGGAGACAAGAGAGGAGTCAGAAGGACACACGCTGTGGCAGCGCGACAGGAGACTGGAGAGTCGGCCCAACTCCTCTTTCCCCTCCCCCCCCTCGTTGCCTCACATCATGTTCGTAAGAGCCAATACGGTAAAAGGAGCGAGCAATCTCGCACATCGCTGACCGCTCCCTCGCCTTCTCTGACTATTTCACGAACAGGCCGCTCGCGGCACAGCCGGCGCACAGAGACCACAGAGACCTCCAGCTCGCACTGCCCGCAGCGGGATCGTGCCGCCGTTCTAGTAGTCGGCGGGGTCGTCGAAGAGCTTGCCGCCGAGCGAGTCCGCCTGGGCAGCCGGGTGGCGACTGGCGTTGAGGCGGTGGGCGCAGCGGGGTGTTGCAGCGGGCGTGCGACTGGGGCGGCGTGTTGTGGCGAGGGCGAGTAGCTGGGCATGGTGCGACAGCGAGGGAAGGGGGCTGCCACCTCGCGGAATGACGTCGCGGTGCCCTGCGCCTCTGACTGGATGTACAGCGTCACAAGAAAAACGACCGGGATGAACAGGCCGAGGATGACGGCGAGGAAGGTGCCAAAGGAGACGTCGAGGCCGATGGTGCCGCCGTCCACGGCGACGACTAGGGTGGAGAGAGAAACGGTGAGCGGCGGGTCGAGGCCGGGCGATGCGCCGGAGGTGGGAAGGTGCACCGCCAGCGAGCGTCTCCGAGAAGGAGGCGAGCGTGGAGTCGGCGGAAGGGCGACGGGCGCCGCGGCAGCGAAGCCGCGCTGGACCGCGAGCGACGGCGAGACGACGACGAGCGCGGGGCTGGAGGTGAGCAGAGCGAACATGGGGATCTGAGTCGATCGCGTTCGAAGATTGCCAGGTTGGTGCCCATTAGCGGCGAAAAGAATTCGACCAGACGTCAAGATGTCCAGCCCGGAGAAAAGAATCTGGGAACGACTCGAGTACCACCTGCGCTTGCTTTCGCAACCAGCACGCGTGCCATTGACCCAGCCGAGACCTCGCTCGGGTGAGGACGGATTGAAGTTCTCTGTCAAAGCGGGTAACCTGCGATCTCACCCCCCCCCCCGCCGCCGCCGCCCCCCGACTTGCGTTTCGATTTATCAGACTTATGCGAGACGTTTTACGATCCTCCAATTTGTTTAGTTAGGCCTTCTGCTGCCTCGGGGCGAGGCATGCCTCGCGCTGGCATTGACGGCCGATTCGCACGCACGACCGTGAGAGCCGCCCTCGCCTGCGTGCTGCCCACGGCAGTGGCCCAACCGGCTGCGTCCATCCCCTACCTGCCAAGCCTACCGAATTTCTCCTCTGTCATCGACTCGTGTGCGTGCGTCGGCGCAGCGGCGGTGATCGAGGTTCACGAGAGCGAGACGGGCGAGCACCTCCCGGATGGGTATGGCGTTGGCTGTGCTGCGCATGATGCCACCCACCCTCACGTGCTTCCTGCGTGCAATGTCTCTGCGGCTCCAGCGTGGTGCAATCGACCCTGGTGCTTTGTCCTCAGCCACGCTTGCCAGACACTGGGACGTGAAGAATATTATTCAGGTGTTTACATTGCTGATGCTCAAACCCCGGGGCCCCATCGCATTCCGCAAGATTTCATTGATCAATTTGTCAGATTCGCATATCTTAATTCGCATGTCCGCTGTGCGGGCTGTGCGGTGCCGCTGTGTTTTCTTTTTCTTTGCACATGGTGCACTCCGAGTCTGGCGAGTAGAGGCCCCGCCCACCCAGGGTACCCTCTCCGAGGACCCATTGCTCCAAGAGACCTCGAGAGAGCGTGCGTGTGCCTCTACTCGCCAGACTCCGAGTGGCCTTTTAAAATTCTTTTCTTTGTAGCGACCGCTGGCGGGTCGCCGATGCATTCCACCTCCTCGCTCCGGCGCCAGCGGGACCTCCTAAGAGCCTCCCTATGGAGCACGCTCCAGGCCACTGACGACGGGCTCCTCGATGACACGCTTGGTGTTCTCGAGGCGGAGTGTGCTCCGTCCGGCGGCGGCGCGGGTGGCGAGCGGGCGGCGGCAGCGATGCGTCTCTTTGCGGTGCTCGCTGCTCACTCGCTACACCCGAACCAGCTACGCCGGCTGCTCGCGCTGCACACGGCGACTGGCGAGGGCGCCCTGCTGCACGCCCTGACTCAGGCCATCTCCCGCACAGCCAGTGAGCCGCTCGGCACGCCGCGCCGGTTCTTTGCCTTCAACGGCGTGCACCCGCCGGCTCCGCAGCCGCCGCTGCAGGGCGAGTGCTTTGGCCGCGACGCCTTTGTAATCTGGTTCTGGCTGCGGCTCGACGTGCCGCCCTCGCCGAGGCCTCCTCGCTCTTCGAGCGGCTCGCCCTCGTCCAATCGGCACACCGGGACCGGCGGCGGCGGCGGCGGCGGCGGCGGCGACAGCGGCGACGGCCGTGGGAGTTGGCGGCGCAGCGACGAAGGCGCCGACGGGGCGGCGCCGCAGAGCGTGTGCTCCTTCCTCGCCACCGCCGGCCACGGCGTCGAGGTGTCGTTGCGAGGAGGCTTGCTCACGGTCGTCGCGATGAGCCCTAAGGGCGGGGCGGCGTCGGCGCAGGTGCCTGCGCCTCTGTCGGCCGGCGAGTGGCACTGGGTGAGCCAGCCGGCGCGCCGCTTCTTCTGGCCCTTTGAGAGCGGTGGCGAGCCTCGCTCTCCTCCGCGTGGAAGCGGCGGGAGCGGCGGCGGCGGCGGCGGCGGCGGCGGCGGCGGCGGCGGCGGCGACGGGTCGGGGTCGGTGCCTCGGCTGTGCGTGCGTGTGGATGGGGTGGAGGCGCTGCGGCAGCGGTTCGTCTTCCCCGCTCCGACCAAGGACCTCCGCCACTGGAGCGTCGGGGGGCCGCTCCCTCCCGGGGTGACGGCGCACGAGTCGACCTGCGCCCCGCTGTCTGGCGCTCAGCTCGCCGAGCTGCTGCTGCTGCCCGCCGCCGCAGCTGGGTCTGCGGCGGTGAGCGGCGCCTGCGCGGCGCTCTCCGCGTCGCGCGCCCGCTCGCTCGAGGAGGGTGCGGCGGCGTGCGGGGTCGTCCCAGCCCTCTCCCTCCGCCCCTGTGGGCTGTTCGGTGCTCGGCGCCGCCACGCCCCTACCAGCCTTTATGAGGGGCGGCGGAGGCGGAGGCGGAGGCGGCGGCGGCGGAGGCGGAGGAGGCGGCGGAGGAGGCGGAGGCGGAGGCGGAGGAGGCGGAGGCGGAGGCGGAGGGAAGGGCAAGCCGCCCGTCGCGCTCGTCGGCACGCGGCGCTCTCCGCTCGAGGCCTTCTGCTGCGCTGGCGGTGCTGCGTGCGTCCCTCGCCCCTCGCCTCCACGGGAGGACGGCGTCTCCTCACACCTGCAGCTGTGGACAGGTGCCCGTGCGGCCCTCGCCCTCCTCTCCGCGTGTGCAGTCGGGCACGTGCAGCACGGCCAGCACGGCCAGCACGGCCAGCACGGCCAGCCACCTCCTCCTCCTCCTCCTCCTCCTCCTCCGGGGCCAGTGCCTCTGGCGGCGACAGCGTCGGCGACGGCGGCGGGCGCGCTGCGCCTCTTCCGGCTGTGCGTGTGCGGCAGCGAGTGCGAGGCGAGGCAGGCTAGCGACGAGGGGCCGGTCGGTGTGCCCCTTCCATGACTTGGCCATGACATGTCCGGGACATGTCCCCTCAGGCGAGCGACGAGAGGCTCGTCGGCGTGCTCGCCGGCATAATTTACATGCTGTGTATCAGAGTCAGTACTTTCATTTGCATTTGCGGGCGCAACAAGAGTGGAGGCGGATCGCCATCTGGATTCAGAATAATTTTTTCGGAAACTTCTTTTTTTATCGAGCCTGTCTGCTGTGAGAGAGAGTTGTTTTGTTTAAATTTTTTTTATTTTCCGCTTCGTTCCAGTGCAGCGGAGGGGAGCGCCACACTCACAAAGAACCCTGCACAAAGATCGCAAGGGCGGGGATAAAGAAAGAAAGAAAACACACATGGAGGACGGCACGCCGCCACCACACAGGGATTTTAAGGAGAGGAGTGTCGTGCTAGCCGTCGCCCACCCTCGGGTGTCTGCCCGCTTATCGGTAACTGCCGTTGCAGCAGCCCGAGAGCTGGTAGCGGAGACAGCAGCTGCGATGGTGGTCCGTAGGCGAGGAGAACGGTAAGGGGATTCTGCTGTAAGGAGAAGCAAGAGGGGATACTCGTGTCCACACAGCCGCAGTGCTGGCGGAGATGCGCTCTGTCGCAGAAGATCCGCAAGCACCCAAGTTGATGTTGCGGTTGTTCTCATTCTGCTCAGCCTCCGAGCCAAGCAGTCGGTGGCCGCTGTGCCACCGTGCGCCGA